CCAGTAGGCAACAGGTGAAGTGTCTTGCCCAAGGACACAACGACCGAGACTGTCCGAGCCAGGGCTCGAACCAGCAACCTTCCGATTACAAGACAAACTCCCAACTCTTGAGCCACGATCGCCCAAATAACTAAAATCCAGGAATAATGTTCTCAATTGGTCAGTAAATGTTGATTTCCTACCAAGTTTGGTCTACAAAATAAGTTACTGTAGTGATAGCAGAGATAAGCCAGAAGTCGTCCTCATACGCCCAAATATGGGCCTTGAACCAGGAAGCAAGTTTAACATACCCAGGGTATCTGTTTGTTCTGGATTCACTGACACTAACATCAGCAATCACGCTAAATGGTCACATGAAGCTGCTTATCAACCTGCTAAGTTACCCTGGGTTTCCTAATCTAGCTACACGCGCGTGCGAGGGGTGACACGGGCAACACCTGACCAATCCCACTAAATATTGAGCAGCAGCTTTAAATGTTTCAGACAGTAAGACTGGAAAAAACTACTATAAAGAAAGAAAAGAAAAGCTTATTCCATGAAATGAATGTTTCAATTAGCATAAGACAGTTTTGTATGTTTTAGCTGCATCCCAGATGGTGTTGAACAGTCTGATGGAAAGCATAAATATAAAAACATAATTAAGTGTAAGTTTATTCTACTTGCGACTGATATAAAGTACCTGAGACTTAATTACAGGCAGTGATTTAATGATTTCACAAAATCCCAGAACACTCCACGTTAGTGACTCAGCAAAACTACAAACATCTCAAATTAATTTTCCTAAACGACTGTATGATTTCTACCATGCTGAGGTTTTTCTTTAGATACGTGTCACTGTGACTCACAGCCAAAGAAGTCGTGGAGGTACCAGCAGGTCTAAATGAATGACACTTAATTGCATAGACAGCATAACAGAACAGAATTTAAATTAATAACACAAAATTTAAAGTGGGGTTATTTAAAACTAACTCATTCCAATCATGAGAAAGCTTGAAAAAGGTTTTCAACTCAGCTTAATTACCTTTTTTTCCAAATTACTCAGCGTACAAACAGTCAAGAAGGTCAAATGTCTACATTTCTACTACAACTACAACACAGGACAGATGAGGAGCAAATTGCTCACCTTTGAAGGATCAATTGTGTAACTGGAAGCGTGCGATGAGGTAGACGACTGGCACGGCTGTGTGTTGTGCACCTAAAAAAAGACACGAGAAGGCAAAAGGAGATGCAACTAAAATGGCCATCTTTAAACCATTTGGGTAAACTGGTTGCAGATTACCAGTCATTTAGAAAAGGTGGTGTTATGACATGCATAGGTTCTTTCTCTTCAGCACCCTCTGCTGGTCATAGTGGGAATACTCGCCAGCTTATATTTTGGTGGGGTTTTTCTGTGTTCCTGTGAGTAGAGGAAACAGGAAGCTGGTTGTTTGTTAGCCTGCAGAATATGTTGTTGCTCTTTAAAACGTTTCTGCCTTGGAGAGTTATTGCTTGTGAGTATTAATGTGCAACATGTTTACAAGTTTATTTGGTGCATTTCTATTACATAGATTTGTTTAGAAACAGTTATTTCATCTTCTATGTTTATCTTTGAGGAAGCTAAACTCGCTAAGTTGTGTTGTGATCAATACTGAGTCGCTGTTGATTACACATACTGTATAACAGTATAGTTCATATCCTAGAAGTGTGTGTAAAAAGGAAAAGACATCTTGTAACATTTACTTTGTGTTTGTTTTTAGTTTTACAGGAAGAAAAGGATGTCGATCATTGAACCACTGACGCAGTAAAAAGCCTTAAACTTACTTCCGCCTCCAATGGTCATTGAAACCGTTAGCTGTCTGTCACGTTGGGCAAAGGGACGCACAATAAGGACAGAACAGGTGGTTTCATTTAATCTGAAAAAGCCTGCATGCAACTGATTTGATTCCGATTCACAAGGTCCTGATTCGATTCAGTTAAATTTGGACTCAGATATAAAAATATGGATGTGCAGAATTATAATATATTTACTGTCTATGTATAAAACCAAAGCTGACACTGTGAGACTTCATCAGAGGTGTGAGCATCACAGCAGAGGCCTTTGTGTCAAAGTGACTGAGGATCAAACATGAAGCAGATTTTCCTGGATTGGCTTTTTATAGCAGATAACCTTAAAAATATTCTGCAGTAGAACAAAAACGTAAGAAAACCATCAATCAACATCTGAACATGACCTGATGCTGCTGAAGTGAAGCAAAGTTACAGA